CATTTTTAAAATATCTGAGTCGGTTCTTTGTTTTTCCTAATTCTCTAAAATCTGAGAACACACGCCCAGATTTGACACTGATGCTGTTTCATCCAGACCAGCTGAACTGGAACACAATATCTCAATGAGCTAACACCTTCTCCACGATCTGAAAGTTCATGAGAGCGCGTCATTCGAGCACAGCGCAAATAAATTTACAGATAAGAGAAACGACGACATCATTAGGAAACTTATTCAGAGCCTGAAATCCGTCACCAAGAAAGCAGTTTTCCGTCTTCTCCTGAGAAATATGTATTCAAATATTCTGATGTCTCAGTTTCACCGATTCAAATGCTACTCTTGTCGCTTGGACCGAAATTTTGTGATGCACCATCAGAAGTGAACTATTTGAATACCGAAGTGCAGTTAGAGAATTTGATTGGTCAGGCGAATGATCTGGTCACGATCTCATATGCCACTGCAGAACATTTCAAATCAACCATTTCGAATTCCTGCGTCGATTACATCAACAAACTACAGCTTTCATAATATGCTTTCAAAAGACCATCGAAAGCAACTCAATCGATTGAAATCAAATGAAAGCCAGATAATCAGTCAACGAAAGAAATGTTCTGGAATTCTTCTGCTGAACAAGTCAGACTATTTGAAGGAACTCTCGCTGATTCTATCTGATGACATAAAATTTGAAAACACAGACGAATTAAAAGATCCAACTGAACAGACAGAGCTGCAGCTAAACGAATTGTTCAAAAAAAGAAAAACGGATCAACTAATAATAGAGAACTACATGATCGAATTCGCCCATGTTGTCCTACGTCGTCACTAAACGACGGACTACCCACAATTCACAAAATCAATGTCAATATTAGATATAATGAATTTGGCATATCTACAGGTCGAGAAGTGTCAGAAAGAAATTCTTGGACCTTTGAAAGAAAAGCTGTCAAGATACAACCTCCACGGCACACTTGAATTAGTCGATTTAATCAAAGATGCCAACCTCAAGGAAAAAATTTGGATTCCCTAGATGTCGTCTCTCTCTTCACCAAAGTTCCACTAAGAGAAAACCTATGTTTTGTGTGACTTCATCCAATGCAATGTCACTCCATTTGCAAACATGCGAAATGCGCTCATGAACAATATCCACCACGGTTGGTAAAAGAGGATTAAAATTTTTCTACACTTAAGTGACAGAACATCTGGTCAACTCAGTAATGAACTCATTAGAGTTTTTATCCAAACATCCTGTCTACTTTGTTATTTCCACTTTTCTAACGTGTTCGTTCACTTGAAGGTCGACCACTGAACTTGTTTGAAGACGGTCAAAACACCCTCGAGCAAACTCTTCACCTGCTTTTTGGAAACGCATAACTTCGACTCCATCATTATTGGTGGACTGATAATTCTATCTTTTATGTCAATGTGAATGGGTGTTCGAATTACATCAACTGCAGTCTTGACCAAATCGTGTAGTTTCGGCTTCCTGAGTGAAAATTAAAACGAGGGATTCAGAAAAGAGACTATTTTCAGGCGGTTGATTATCTAGCTGTAGTATCCTATATATGTATATATATATACGCGTGGTAATTAATTAATTTCATTCGGCTGGCTAATTGAAACGAGTGTGTGAATGCTTGAAATTGTAATATTAGTATGAAGAGCAATAAAATTATTTCTGATTGTTGTTTTATCCGTCCAGCTTTATTCACAGGAATTGTCTTCGAATACATAAAGTGATAGTAGTAGTAGTAGTATGAAATCGAAAGAGTTGATAAAGTGTCTACCTCATGTCGGTTTCTCGTATATGGAATTTTTCAGGGAGTTTTTGGCGTCCTTGTCAGATGAACGTCGAGGAAGTGGAACATTCTTTCGGATTCAGCCTCAAGAGTATTGTCAGCGTTTTGGTGAGCATTGTTGAAGGTTTGAAGTGAGTTTTTCAAGGTTCACGTTCTCATCACAAATAGTGAACTTATCATCGGTGTATCGCTTGTGAAACTGGATGTCACTGATAGTCGATGACAAGAAGTTGTTTTCGAGGCTGGTCATAAAACAGTTGACCAGGAAGGGTCCGAGTGGAGAACCCATTGCTACGCTATCTGTTCGCCTGTAGATTTCGTCGTTTGACCTGAAGTAGACGTTGAAGATAGAAAGAAGTAACAGCACTCTTAGATAATGCATCGGTAAGCCGATATCTACGCTGTTTCATTGGATGAAGACACACGGAAAACATATATATATGTAACGACAGAAGGCAAGAGTCAGACAACAGATCATTTATTAAGGAAATCAACGCATATTTTTATATTTGCACGTATATTACTATGGATATTTAAGTAAATAAACACAGTATTCTGATCGGTTGTTTCTCACGTAAAGTTAATCTTTTATCTATTTGTGACTGTTTCTAGAATGTCAAATCCTCTATATGTTAAGTGCATCCGCCTACGCAAAGTCTGCCGTGGTCGGTTTTGAATCAGTCTTTGTTCATATTTTATCACGACCAATCTTGAGAACGTAAACATTGACGCAAATTACTGTCTACTAATTTGGCTAGTAGATATCTCTCACCATATATATGTGGTAATTAATTAATTACATTCGGTTGGCTAATTGAAACGAGTGTGTGAATGCTTGAAATTGTAATATTAGTATGAAGAGCAGTAAAATTGTTTGTGATTGTTGTTCTGTTCGTCCAGGTTTATTCACAGGAATCGTCTTCGAATTCATAAAATGATAGAAGTAGTAAAATTAGTAGTAGTATGAAATCCAAAGAGTTGTTTGTGATTATAATCATAGTTAAATACCGATATACGACTGTCCTCAATTTCATTTGATCTCACTGATAAAGTGGGGAAGATATGTAAGTGAATCATATGTCACTCATATGAGAGCGAAGTGTATTTGTCCTCAAATGAACTGTATTTCAATTCCTAATCGTCATTTCATTAGGTTGATCTTTGACTGGAGATTGTTCTGAGACTTTCTCACTCATTTATTGTGTAATTCTACTAATTTCACCTTTGACCTGAAATATTTCTAGGATAATACTACAACACATCTACCTTGGTTTATTCCCTATCTGATCTTCACTTTTACTACACATTATGATTTTATTAATTGTACACCTTACTGGAAATAGTGCTGAAACATTCCGAACCATTTACTATAAATACACGAATGTAGAGCCTAGTTGATGACTTCGTCGAAAAGACAAGTTTCTTCGCCGCAACCGTCTTTCTATTATTCCCTATGATCAAATGTGTATACTACATATGTATTCATATGTTTATATGTATACGGTTGTGCAGCTTGATAACCAACTGTTTGAAAACAGTCTCTTCGCTGAATCACTCGCTTTCACTTTCTAAATATCCAAATGTGATTTTCCAAACGAGACGTTCGGTTTGCAATGCAGATTATTTCTGTTGGTGCAGATATTGTCTCGTCATCCTGCTATTAGTACATTGTGTCTTGAAATTACAGAAATCTCGAGATTAGTGAATACGTAACTGGTATAACTGGTGCCAGCAATTCTAGCTGCAACCATACCACCTCAGTGCTACGAACAAGATCAGTACCGCCAAATACTTGAATTCCTAGTGTGGAGGCGTCGATATCCAGTTGCATGGCAGCCTATTGAGTCACATCTTGTTGAAATGAAGTAAATTCCAATTCTCGCATACATTATGATCATTGAGATGGCCAGTAAGCAGTGCTGACGCTAATGATACGATAAAAATAATTTAGCTGATCTCCATGACACCATTACCATTTAGAAATCTTTCTTACTGATGAACTGAAACGCTGAAGTATATACAACATTATGTTCAGTGTGAGTTTATTAACGTCAATGAGTATGCAAATGACTCCGACTGTGAACACCGAATCCATCTGATCGGTCAGAACAAGTTAAATATTTGAACAATAAAATTGTATTTGGAAGACAGGCAGTGAGCGTTAATACGAAAGTGAGTTATTCAGCTAAAAGTGTGTCATGAAATCCTCTGGACAAGAGTACATTTTAATAGCGTGCAGAATACACGTTTCACATGGCAGCAGGAGTCATATATTGTTCGCATTCTTCTCTAGTTACTTCCTCCCATTCCTGTGGAGAAAATAAAAGCAGATTACCATTAGGCATTTGATGAGAAACAAATAACGCTGAATGTTGTGAGGGTGTATTGGGAAAGTCTGACATGATTCAAATCGAATTGACCACAAGTGGTGTTCAGATGAGAAGAAGTTGTCGGTCGGCTTTCGATAAATGCCAAATCTGTGATACATTGCCTGATCCTCTTCAAAATACTAGATGTGATTTCATATGACATGACATGACATGATATGATATGACATGACAAGAATAAACTGGTGGTCCACCGAATGACACAACTCTTGTCCCCAGTGTTCAAGATACAAATAATATTGCATTCACATGGGCTGGATTTCAATCTCAGCGATACATATTTAAATATAAAGACGGGTGTCAGTTGCTCTTATCAGTCGATTTCTAAAGGTTCGTATGAAATAGTAGGTAAATCTTACGTTTCATCTTCTCGATGGAAGTTTCATAAATTTTATTGAACACTTGAAATTGAAAGAGCAAAATGAAGATGACATATTAGTTGAAGGAAAGTAAGCCTCGTTCATCACTGTGTAAATAAATCCCTTCTCCCGCAATAGATAAAATCTGATTGGCGGCACTTAAATGCAATGAATGTGTTTCTTGTATACACAAGTTTTTTTTTTTTGATGGAATTTCTTATTATCACTGTCTCCTTAATTGACTTGTTTGGCTTGCAAACACTCAAACTGATCGAGTTGCTCCTTCACATTTTCACGCTGCATAAGAGAGTAGTAGACATGCGTGTATGTGCTTTAGCTTCTATGTAATTAACATGTCGCCTTCGGACACATTTTGTCGATTTCGATCTGAAAAGCGATGCGTTAGTCGAAATTTCAGATTATCCTTGATTTTTTTGCGATAGATAGACATTCTTCAGCGAATAGACCCCTATATACTAATAAACGTTGTGTACTGACTAATGCACTGATGCACAGTTCTCAGGGAACCTTAATATATTTTAAGACAAATACATTATTGATTTCAGTTGTGAATACATTACCATTTTCAAGGGAACAATGTTCACATGATGCGCATGAGTTATGCGTATAGTACGACTGCTGATAACACGGAGTGTCAGGTCGTACAGAAAGGCGATTGTCTACTCGCATGATAGAGCATTTGCCAAAATGGTTGAAAACAGCTGAGTTCAAAGTGCCAAAATCCTCAATAACAAAGCATCTTGTGGATTACGGGCATGATATCGACGCGGTCAAGTCATTCACCATTGTCAGCGGACAAAGAAACAAGAAGATGATGATGAAGACACTGTTAGACGTGAAACATATAAGTTACTATGTAATTAGCATAGTGAATCGACCCTTTCATTGTTCATCTTTCTGTAATTCTATGGTGTCACCCTTTCTATCGTTTAATTATAACTTTGCTATTTTTATTTTAGTTGTTATTACTATTATTACTATAATTTTATATTTTTCTCCTTATCCTCTACTGTAATTGCTACATAGCTCCTATAAAAACGTTTTGTTATCATTATTATGTATTAATTATTCCGTTTATCTACTTTTTTTTGTTTGTTGTTGTCGTTTTTGAGTAAATTAGATGCAATACTGTACTGAATGCTGAAAATTCCTTGCTGTATCATTAGTACTGTTTTTGGAATAAACCAAAAAAAAATTATTATTATTATTAAGATGCTTGCAATTGCAGAGGTTTGAGCAATTCGAGTTTACAAACCAGGTCTCTGTGTACAAAAGGAGATGGTCGTGACTCTGAATCTTTCATGGTAATACGTTTTACTTATAATTCTACCTCTTATTATTATTATTCTCATTATTATTATTCTTGATTCATATAAAACTATCCTTTATCAGTAGCATTATCTTAACTCACTTCAACACTATTATTATTATTATTGTTATTATAACTATTACTATTGACATCCCTCTGGTTGCAATTCTTGTTAAATTCTCTAATGTCTAATTGTTTATCTAAGGGATGTAATTGAAGCGTAATGCAATTTATCTTAATTTTGATCTCCCATACTCTCTCTCCCCTTATCTAATTGAACATGACCTGGAAAAACATTCGCACCTGTCTTTCTGCATGACTAATTAAATGTAGTTTATTTGTGCTTATCAGTCCTATATCTCCCAGTGTAATTTCAAAAGTATATATATATATATCCGTGTATGTAGAGTATTCAGCTGACGAGTTCTACCGAAATTTGATGAATTCATTAAATCCTGCTTTATTAACCTTCATTGCTTGTTTTAAATTCATATCGGGAAATAAATGTTTCCAATTCTTTGTTATTTGCATTTGTGAATAGATGCTGATGTATGTATGTATATATGGAGTGCATAGAACCCATGAACAAAACAGTTTGAACTTACAAATGGCTTTACCATAAAGCATTCTGTAGTAGTATGAATATTCCATGTGCTGGTGCAAATTCTCTATATCTGAAATTTTTGTAAGATAATCCCGACACATTTTAAAAACTGAATGTCAAAGAATTAAGTGGTGGAAAGTGATCATGCAGATGGAACTGCGGGGGCATCGATTTTCTCCTTTGTAAAACCATGTTGGTAAGTGCTCGGTGATACGTTTGGAAAGTGAGCGCTTAGAACATCTGATAGAATCCGGACACCAAGCTACACCGCAAACAAACTTCAAAGTCGTCTACAGAGTAAGAAGTAGTCTCCCTAAAGATGTACGAATCAGACTTGTTCAAACTGCAGAAGCAATGGCGATTCACTTGCTAAGTCCTGAACTCTGCATACAGAAGAAGTTCGTTCAATCCCTACACTTGCAATGGACGTAATCTATCTTATTAGCCGACAAGTAAAGTCTACCTAATCTTTACTTCTGTCTATTCATTAGTATTATTTTGTCTTCTCAATTGTAATATTTTACATTTTCAACTTTCTTGTTCTCTACTCCCACCCGATTGAATTTCTACACCTCACTACCACTGTTACTGACTTGAACAACGCTCAGTTTCTAGTCATTTATATTACGTCATCTAGCTTACTAACTCGATCTTACTTTAGTTGCTGTCTGATTAACTTTGTCTCTATACTACATCATTCTTGTATTAACTAATCAATTATCTAAACTTGACAAACCTCATGTACACACACACACACACAAATAATTATATATAAATGCGATTGTACAGCTATGTGAATGAATTCGCCGAAAAGAGTCTCTTCGCTGAATGTCTTATCTTTTTCATATGACTCAATGGGGAATTTCAACTTCATCATTATCGGTGGACTGACAAATCTATCTGTTATGTCAATGTACAGAGGTGTTCAAATTACATCAACTGCAGTCTCGACTACATCGAAAAGACTCGCAGACTTCAGACTTCAAGTCATTACCCTTCACAGGTGTAATTTGTGATAGGGAGCTTGAAAGTGAAGCAGTCTAATTTTACACTTGATAATCCATCCTGCACATTGATAGTTTCAATTCACTTGTAGCACTACCAGATTGAGCGGTAGGTGAATCCTGTGAAACAAACTCCTATGCGAATGCATTTGACTTTTGAAAATTAACATCTTCCGATGCAGTAATTTTACATAATTTATTTTAAGTGTAGTTTATCAGTTATCGATTATTACCTTGTTCTTCTGATGACGGTCTATACTGTTCACAGTTGGCTGATGGTAATTGAGCTGATGAATAGAAAAACAGAGAGAGAGAAAGAACAGGCCATTGAAACGTCAAGGAGGCAAACATTCACTGAACTTATCAAACTTATTATCAAATACTCATGCAACTACAGACCTATTGAATAAAACAAACATCACACAAATCAATATGAGTTGGGTAATTAATATTGAGTAACAAATCTCCACTCCTAACTGTTTGCTTTGTATCTAAAATTATCGGGAGAGTTCGAAACCAAAAATTTACTCCGACATAACAGGTAAGATTAGGTAGGAGTGTTTAATGGGTAAGTAACAAATGGAAAGAAGAATACAAAGTGAAACTGTTTACCGTTTAAAGTACTAGCTTCTTGCTGGACACATTCTAGAAGAGGATACTCCTCTCCGTAAATACCTAAATGTAATGTAAATGTATTTCAAAAAAAAAACATATAATCTCATATAAAAGTAGTGTTAGATAAATGTGTGAATTTATCTCCTGAATGGTGAGTGGTGGTTCATGGGCTTTTATGGGATATATATTCTAAAACGATGGTAATTGTCCTCGATATCTCTGATTTCAGATTGTGCAGTAACACACACACAGACTGATGAATGTATTGCATAAAATGGCCAGTAAAATATATGATGAAAATTTCCATGAGTTTCGTGTGTGGTGGAAGAATGATTGCTGGCAGTGAATAGTAATAATTCCGATTAACTGTTGAAGTAGTAATTAGGGAGGTGTTTTGGATGGAGTGATCTGATAGAGAGCATGGAAATTTGATATGATGGATGATAATTGGAGGATGAGCATTATGCAAGTCGAATATGAATTGATTACTTACTTTACTTTACTTCGGCTATCTCCTACGGGAGGATGAGCCGGCTTCATGAACATCTCGAATCATCGCTGCCCAGGCGCGGCAATCTGATGCAAGGTTTTGCGACAGGGTTATCCAATTCTTGTTCCACAGACGGAGTCCGTAGATGGTTTGTAGCCCCAGGCACTCCATATCAGCCTTGACTGTACCAAGCCATGTTTTCAGCTGTCCACCCCTGCGATCGTTTGTAAGAGAGTTCATGAAGTTTCATGGGAATTCGGTACGAGTGATGTCCCCAGAATCACTCGGCCTTTTGTTTGAGAGTGCAGCTCTAGCCTTTACACAACCAAGTGTGACCTACAAGGCAGTAGGAGTGGAGTAGGAAGTCCACTATCCATTGAAAGCCGGTGACCGGAGTTCGGTTCATACGCCTTTTTGAATGGGGCCAGACATCCAGGACATCCAACAAGCCCTTTGTTCATACGTCTGCCGGTGAGCTCCAGTGAGCTTCATACGCCAGTCGTTGGAGGTTTGGAATCAGGGTTTAGCCATCTCCCCTAGACTGTCATCCAATGGACAGTCAACCCGGTGAAGAGCGCCGGGCATCAGCTTTCGCCCTCTCACTTTGGTGAAAACACCTCCGCCACGTGAAGGCAGTGAGTAGGACTTCCTCAGGAGAGGCTATGTAAGACTCCCGGTCATATGGGAGCATTTCAAGAGGTGTTCGGAGGGGTGGCCAACCCGCAGCACAAGGCACCCACCCCGACCATCCTGAGGCTTTGGAGGCATGATGCCGAAGGATAACTTCAACGCTTGAATGCACATTATTATATTATTGTATTATTGTTCCCTTGGGTTCCTAGTGGAACATAGGGCTTCAACTGCACGTCTCCACTTGCTTCTGTCTTCTGCTGTTCTTTTCACTTGCGTCCATGTTATTCCATACTGTTTCATCTCCTCCTCACACGATCTCCTCCATGTCACCCTTGGACGTCCCACTCGCCGCTTCCCTTTCGGGTTCCACTCGAGGGCTTGACGCGCGATGTCACTCAACGGCCTCCTCAGCGAGTGTCCAATCCATCTCCACTTTCTCCTGCATATATGTTGAGCGATTGGTTCCTGTTTCGTTTGTTCCCATAGCTTCTTGTTTGTGATTCTTTCTGGCCATCTAATCTTCAGTATGGAGCGAAGACAGTTGTTGAATGCACATGACATCTATTAATGTCTGTTAGTCACATCAGGTGTAAATATACCAATGAGTAACACTGATAACACACATTGAGATAGGTTATTCCCTGTCAAATTTCATGTGGTTTTCACTGTCAAACAGATTTGACGAATGATTTTCAACTCTGAAAACTTTCTCAACTCTCAAATTATATACTGGATGCAGACAAAAAGTGAAAGCAACCATACACACACACACACAAAGTCAGTTGACAGAAATTCAATTTACCATTATCTTCAGGTGGCTGTCTAAGTTTCTTTGCGACATCTGAAAACACACAGAAAATGACAACTGGCATTGAGAGATTATACAAAAGAATAATTTCTAATGCAGAATTCATCAGCGAAATTTACGTGGAATTACTGTACAACTAACTGCCTAACGCCATGGTATGTATGCTCAAGAATAATTCACCAATCGCTTCTCCTGGTGATTACCAAAGTGCAATTACGCTGACCAGCTTACAACACTTAATTCTCATGAAATTTATTACGCCTTATTGCATCTAAAGATTCAAGTGATTCTCTTCAAACGTTTATTTCAAGTTTCACTCTGTTTCCACTCGTCTTCGCAGTGAATATAATCAACATCGATTCAGAGAATACTTCCTTCCATTGGAATGGCTAGTTAACGTGATTTTTGATTACTGCTCAAAATTGGCCTCTGAGCGCTTGCAATTGATGCATGATTTTAGAGTTTTGAGGAACCTGGATCAAAATTGAATGATCAGATAATTTGTAGGTTAAACTGGGTTGTGGACTAAAGCAAGTTGATAACATCTCCAAGAAAGCAGAAGTGAAATTCCCTAGACATGTATCCACCTCAACAACGTCAAACTATCACATTCATCTCAACACTGAATCAGTGAGTAATCTCATTTAGTAACAGTGTCAAGGCTGACAGTGAAGTTGCACCATTGCAGGATCTCACTGGAGTGTTTTCTGGGTTGCAACTCTGTCGTCTCTAACCAAAATGTTGAATGATTTTGTACAACAGCAATAAGCCACACTCATGTGATAACGAAGTGAATAAAAGTAGTATATATATATAGTTGAAATAAATCCTGAAACACACCTTTATATAGATCTAGTCCATTGCTTTTTTCATAATCCTCTCGCCAACAGTTGATATCTGGAAGAGTTTGTTAGCCAACGGAATTCAAAAAAACTTTAACTTACAGTTCTCAGCGCTCTTGTTGCCTGTTTTCACAGCTCCATTATTCATCTTAACTAGTAAAAGAGAGTAGTGAGAAGATTGACTGAATTGAAGCCAGACACCTATACAAAATTTGATATTCACTATGTAGAGTAACCGTGAGTAAATTTGCTAATATTGGAGCATAGCTACACGCACGGTGCTGTATTGATTTTACACTACAGATTGAATGTCATGAACATGAACGTGTGAAGGTTTTTCGATTGGAGCGAATGTGAATAAATTGTAACGACAGAAGACAAGAGTCAGCCAACAGATCATTTATTAAGGAAATCAACGCATATTTATATATGTTTTCATGTACATTACTATGGATACGTAAACAAACAAACACAGTCTTCCGATTGGTTGTTTCTCACAACAAATCTTGGGAACGTAAATATTGACGTAAATTACTGTCTACCAATTTGGCTAGTGGACAGCTCTCACCACAAATATGAGGTGAATTGAGAAATCAGATAGATGCATGTTGATGAGTTCATGATTTTTCGTGTGACATTGACATGGTTTCCTCACTTGAATAAGTCTCATATCAAATGAATTCATATATTCTCAATATAGAAAGGCAAAACATTTATGCGAAACAGCTTATGGGGGAAATCTCCTAAAAAAATACAACACAAATATCTCAAGCAAACACGAGATACAGAAATCGAGTAGACCACTTAGAACAATTAATCACATGAAATCTTTGTTTTTACCTTTTAGTTGTTTAATCGCTTTTTCATTGTCGCTAATAAGAGAAGCTAAATTTGGTAATGAATCTGTGAAGGAGAAAGTGGAAACTATTTTGAATGAATTACAGGAGAAGGAGTTTAGAAGCCACAGGATGTGACGGAGCATTGAGAAGCAGTACTTATAGAAAAGCTTATGTAGGATAATATAAGAAAAACTAGATATATCCATCCATATAAAGTCGGTCGTCTTACCTTGAGACTTCTTAAGCAAAGTTTCAATATGTCCTAACTTAGACGATTCGCCTTGAAAATTGACAAAGTGAAGAGAACAGCGATTATTATAAGAAACCGACACTTTGATAACACGTAAATACGATGTAAGAAATTGTTCATTTCAAACGCCTGAATAGCCATGTGAGTATTTGCTGTGCTTGATTGCAGATCTGTAACACTCTAGGTAGCAAAACGTCAGCTGGAGTATTCAACGTCTCTGAGAGTATAGAATGGAATGTTTGCGAAAATTAACAGATCACCAGCACCGCCGAGGTGATGTGATAAGGTGATAGAGAAAATAGTGTGTTCGAGACACAATCAGTTTTCGGTCAGAAACAGAACCATGGAATAGCCTCAGATAATACTGCCTGGATAAAACAGTAATTTTCATCATAATGTAAAACAGGTTAATATGTGAATAGATTGAGTCACAAATGCACAGTCATTTTAATAATATATACTCACCTCTGTATATGCTGGCAAATACCATCAGCGTTATCACAGATATGTAACTGTACATTGAGCTGAACATATTCTCTTTTTCCTTCATTTTTCTGGCTTTACTCTCCAACTTTTATACTGTTCCTCGTGATTGGTTAAACCGTTGTAATCTGTTGGTTGGTTGATAAAAATAGTAGTGCTTATTTTGTTTTTCATTTGTTAAAATAGATCAGTGTGGTCAGTAATTGTTAGTGAATGATTCAGTGAGTGAGTGCGTGAGTCAGTGGGTAACTGAGTGGATGTTTCGCATCACTACCTTGACCTTGGCGGCCTGTTTGAACATTTTGGGCTACCATATTCCATGTACTTTTTGCATCTATTTACTCATGTTTTGTTGGTGTTTACATTTAAAATTATGCATTCTAATCGTATCATTCACTCTCGGGATTATATAAAGTGCTTAAAACCTAAAAACTTTCATACATGCAATAAACTCAAGAAAAAGCACCATGGTGGTTGGCAACGTGCTTTAAAATCTACACCCATACATCAAACCACTGTTCCGGTTATCGTTAGTACCAACTGCCGGTCACTGCCTAACAAAATTCTGGATTTTCAGTCCTTGTTGTTATCCGAAACTTATCACAGTACTGGTATTTTCACTCTACAAGAAACCTGGCTTCATGACTCATATGATGACAATATAGTATCTTTAAATGATTTTAATGTATTCCGACAAGACCGTGTTTGTTCCGAGAAAAAATATGGCGGAGGTGTAGCTACATTTATTCACTCAAAATGGTCCATTTCTAACAAATTTTGTTTCAAATTCTCGAATGACTACATTGATTGCATCACTGTCAGATGTCGCCCGAAACACTTGTCGAAATACAAATTCATTTATATTTCTAATGTTTATGTCTCTCCTGCCTGTACCATATCGGATTTATCTATGTTCGGAGTTGAATTCACCGCTTTTGCTGCAGCTTGCTTCGAGAACTCCTTATCAATAGTGACTGGCGATTTTAACTCATGTGATCACTCCTTCCTTATATCACTTGGCCATGAGAATATTGTTAACTTTGCTACCCGTGTCGAAAAAACACTAGATCTAGTATTCATCAATGATGTTCGTATATGTGAAGCTCGCAAACGTGCTCCTGTACTTAACTCTGACCACTGCATCATACGTGTACTGCCTAAAATATATTCCAAATCACACAAATGTGTCTTCTCTCACCTCTACAGTAAATTTCAACGGAGATGCTACTCACAAGACAACCTAAGCAAACTTAGATGCATGTTGAAAGATACTAACTGGGACCTATTTACAGAACAAACATTAAATGACACAATCACAAACACTACAGATTATCTTAAATTCTGTTTCGAAACACGTTGTCTTAAAGAAACATTATTCACTCGATTTGACCGTTTCTCTTCTCCATGTCTCAAAAAGCTACGTAGAGATAAAGAACTGTTGTTCAAAACAAATGATAAGTCAGGTGTAAAAAAGCTAAATCCTCTGATAAAACTCGAAATGCACAGACTAAATGTTTTATACAACCAAAGATTTTTGTCATGTAAAACCCCTTCTAGTTTATGGAAACTTTTTAAAGAAATAACTAGCGGTAAGCGGTGTACTTCTGTCTAATCACTTAGTGTTGATAATCTTATTAAGTCTTTCATACGCTCTTCTGTCGATATCCTTCCTAATGATACAAATCACATAGACAATAATTTTAGTGGTTTTAATACCCTTGATGTGCTTAAATGTCTCCATTCTCTTAAGCCTTCCCAAAGCCTTGGTCCTGATGGCGTACCTGCCATTGTTCTCAGGAACTGTGCTGATATTTTGTGTTACCCTCTTACTAATATTTTTAATGCTTCCTTTTCAAGTAATGTTCTACCTTATGCATGGAAAAACATTAAAATTATCCCTATACCAAAACAATCTTCTGGTACCGATATTAAATTTAGGCCTATTGCATTTACTTCTCCTTTTTTAAAATTGATGGAAAAACTGCTTTTACTTCGTCTTCAACCTTCATTGAAACTAATTAATGATCCTAAGCGATTTGCATATAAACATGGTAGAAGTACCTTGGATGCTGCGGTTGTCTTATATCATAATGTTGTTTCTTGTTTAGACAAAGGTGCCAATTATGTTCGTGGTGCCTTCCTAGACCACACATCTGCGTTTGACTCTGTACCTAGGGGCCTTTTATTAAATAAGCTCTCCTTGACGCACACAGCATCCTGGGCTAAGAGTTGGTTGCATTCTTATTTTTCTGATAGAATGCAGTATAATGCATATAATGGCAAATCTTTTTCTGCTTTGCTTACAAAAGCCGGTGTTCCTCAAGGTGCCGTCCTCTCTCCTTTTCTTTTTTCTTTCTTCCTACACGACCTACCACATTTAAACGAAACTAATTTTGTCAAATATGCTGATGATCTGACTGTATCACTGCCTATCACTTCGGAGTCTGACTGCTCCAAACTTAATAGCTTTCTGTTGGACATCAGCAAGTGGTCTAAGTCAAATGGTCTTATGTTAAATCCTTCCAAATGTCAGGCAGTTAACTTTACCTTCAAGCATCGACGTGACATACATGAACTAGTTAGTTCCCATGATGCCTGTAGCATAGATGGCACAGAAATTGAAACCAAGTCAAGCATTAAATACCTTGGATTAGTTCTTTCCTCTAACCTTTCATGGTCATCCCACATCTTATTAATCTCTAAGAAAATGTTTCGTCTTACCTTCTACATTAAAAAGTAGTTAAGACAATCAGGTATCAACCAACCTTTACTTCTGCAGTTTGTAAACTCTTGTATTTTACATATTGTGCTCTACTGCTCTCCATTAATCTTTCCTGGGCTTCTTAAAAAAGACTATATCATATTACGAAGGGTATTAAATGCTGTGAGTAGGGCTTGTGGTTTGCCACTGCGTGAGCTCGCCAATACTATAGTCGAGAGACACGTAAATTCCTGTACAACGTGGGCAAAGGCCGTACTGTTAGACCCTCTGCACCCTCTTTATTCACAACTATCCCCTTGTATCTCATCAGGTAGAACGAGAAGTCAATATAAGAAATTATATGCTCGTACCACTAAGTACAAAAATTCTACAATACTGTATTTAGCCCGTATTTTATGTGATGAAGACTCTGTTAGACGTGAAACATATAAGTTACTATGTAATTAGCATAGTGAATCGACCCTTTCATTGTTCATCTTTCTGTAATTTTATGGTGTCACCCTTTCTATCGTTTAATTATAACTTTGCTATTTTTATTTTAGTTGTTATTACTATTATTACTATAATTTTATAATTTATGCGTATTTTTCTCCGTACTGCTTACAGTAATTTGCTAAATAGCTGCTATAAAAACGTTTTGTTATCATTATTATGTAATGATTATTTCGTTTATTTATTTTTTGTTGTTGTAGTTTTTGAGTAAATTAGATGCAATATTGTACTGAATGCTGAAAATTCCTTGCTGTATCATTAGTACTGTTTTTGGAATAAAGCAAATTATTATTATTATTATTATTATTATTAAATATTCTTGGTTTTACTCTGGAATGGATATTCTCTCCTATACAACAAGTCATTCGTATTACACAATTCCTGCTTGATTTCGATGGAACTCAAGAGTGTAAGTGTAATGTTCATTCAACTGAATAACTTACTTCCGTATTTAATTTCGTAAACACTTGACTTTTAGAAGTATTTGTGGAAACGGCTATCGAATTCCAAATTATCACCCCCATCACAGATGATGTCTATGAATACTCGTAACATTATTAAAGTGAAAATCAAAATGTGGAATTGCATTCATCACTTCACATATCGAAGTGTGACAAACATTCACTTGGATTACATTGTAAACTAGACTCACTCGTCGTACAATGACTTTCACTGAACGTCAGTAGTTAAAGAGCAATAAATAACTTGAACAGTCCAAGTGAAGTTGCGAGAGAGGGAAGACCTTGAAACATATCTTCTGGGATGATCGATAGAAATATCACACAACACACATCAAGTAGAAATTTTCTCAAAGGACTCAAGAGTAAGAGTAAGAATGGTATTTATATAAATTTTCAGAATATCCTGCTAACACCAGGGTTACGTGAAATATATATTCACTAGGTCTTCATTCAGATATATTACATGGAAAATCTAGGTTGATGGAAGTATCGAGCAACTCCATGTGATAATCTGTGAAACATTAGACACGAATGATCAACAGACACTTCTGTGGGTCGTGAGGAGAGCGAATAACAACTCGCATGAATAATCGACTGCAGAAACACTGAAGAAATTCTGAGAGAAACAAATGCATTTGAAAGCTTAGGAAGTACCTCAGGAATACAGAGAGTGATACCGATATTTCTGAGCTGATCACGGCTCAAATGTTGAGCAAACACAATCAAAATCAGAGGAATTCATCAACCACATAAGATGGATGATGTTTGCTTCGAATCTACTGTGGCGACTGGCATCTCTCAAGTTATTACCTGATAAGTCATTCACGTTGATCACGAGAAAAAGTTGTTCTGCCTGCAAATTAATTCAAGTGTTCATATCTAACTCAGTTAAGCGTCAATAAGATTAGTATCAACACTGTTTTATGGTTATGATGATCATTTTTCATAGGGCAGCTGAAAATATCTTCAAATATTCTTTCGATCAGCTCACAAGGGACTATCAAAGTGACGTTAGTCAATGGAGATCCTAACTTCCCTTACTTGCACCCTATCAGAGTCCTTTATCCGTCTTAATCTAGCACTCATATTTTGTTAACTGCATTACGATGTGGTTGACGCATTCAGATATCATTGTCCGAAATTTACTAGTTCATTCAATCCTGCTGATTCGAATAAATCCTGAAGTGTGAATCGATTTACCCATAGTGTGAAGCTATTGATGGTCATTTTGTGACTTCTTTAGGTTTTCATTGTCTAATCACAGAAATGGAATCAGTTGCTATCCAGCACACAATTTTCAGGGAGGAATTGAGTATATTCCTCATTCTGCTGGATTGATTAGAATATAGGCGCGAAAACTGAGAGACTACTTTGAAACCTTCTGG